TCTTCCCTTTTGGTTTTTTAACTCCAGGTCTTTGCATATTTCATTGTAATATTTGACTTTGTCTTCTCGAGTTGACCTTTGAAATTTTCTCTTCAGCTCTTGTGCCTCCTCATTTCTTCCATTTGCATTAGCATCTCTATGCTACAAAGCAAGTTTCAGAGTCTCTTCTGTCATCCATTTTAGTCTTTTTGTCTTCTTTCTTGTCTTCTTAATGACCTTTTGCTTTCTTCTTACATGTTATTCTTGATGTCATCCCATATTTCTTCTGGCCTTTGTTCTTTAGTGTCTAATGCATTAACTCTGTTCTTCAGATGATTTCTGAATTCAGGTGGGATATACTCAAGGTCATATTTTGGCTTGTGGATTTGCTTTAATTTTCTTCAATTTCAGCCTAAATTTGCATATGAGCAACTGATGATCTGTTCCACAGTCTATACCTTGCCTTGTTTGGGCTGATGATATGAAGCTTTTCCACCATCTTTTTCCACAGATGCAGTCAGTTTGATTTCTGTATATCTCATCTGGTGAGGTCCATGTGTATAGTCATCTTTTATGTTGTTTTAAAAAGATATTTGCAGGGAACAAATCCTTTGTCTTGCAAAATTCTATCATGTGATCCCCAGCATCATTTCTATCACCAAGGCCATATTTTCCAAACTGATCTTTCCTCTTTTGAGCAGTAGCTCAAAAGAGGGAACAAGTCCTTACAGCAAGAATCATTCCCACCCCCTCCACACACAGAGTAGACAGGGATGGGCAACTTGGACATTGGCTACCCAAAATGGGGGGTGGCAAGAAGTGACTGGCTTACAAGCTTTCAAGAGGGAACCTAGATCCAGAGGGCCTAGAGGAAGGTAGAATCTCCAGTGAGTAGTATTCAATCTGACTACGCGGAGTTGATGCAATGAAATGCAGATGGGTTTCTTGTGATACAATAGTTAATAATTGTTATCAGGACTGACTGTGAGGGTTGGAAATGTAAAGGTAGACGTTTTATAGCAATGAGGGGAGTGATTAACTTTTCAGTCTAGGGGCGGAGGTCCCTAGGACCATAAAGGGAGAAGAGCAGAGAGTGGGACCCTACCCAGAGAAGCAATGATGCCTGAAATGGAGCCAGAGATGATGACATGGAGCGATGGAGCAGCTGGAAACTTTAGACCCAGAGAGGGAGAGTGACTGTGTGCTGAAGACCTGGGGGGTATGGGGGAAGGATTGCATGGATGGGATTGTAACCATGGAAATGAGACGATATAGGATAGAATGAATGTAAAACTAATGTTCTCCCATGTAAACTATTACATAATTCACAATAAAACATTTAAGATAAAAAAATAAAGAAACAGGGCAAATAAAGGGGAGTCACAGGAATGTGGAAACTGTTAGAACAGACATGGTTTTGAAGATGAACGAAAAAATATCTAAATCCTAGTCTCTACTGGCTATGACTTTTGCTACATGTATCTTTAAATGTGACTAAGACAATCAATGGTTTCTGTTTCCACTGATGTATTATTTTCAGACTGTTGTTGTTAGGTAACATTGAGTCAGTACCAACCCTTAGTAACCCTATGCACAACAGAACACAACAGTGTTTCACTGCTGACTCCTGAGCTAACCTCACAATTGTTGCCATGCTTGAGCCCACTGATGCTGCCACTTTGCCAATCCATCTTGCCAGGGGTCTTATTTTTCTCTGACACTCCACCTTACCAAACATGATATCCCTCCCCAGTGACTGGTGCCTCCTGACAATATGTCCGAAGTATGAGAGATGAAGTTTGACCATCCTGGCCTCCAAGGAGTACTATGGCTGTACTTCTTCCAACACAGGTCTGTTGCCCTTTTGGCAGCCCATGGCACTTTCAATATTCTCCTCTAATACCAGCTTTCACATGCATATGAAGTCACTGAAAATACCATGGCTTGGGTCAGACGCTCCTTA